TAATCCTAGCTACTCAGGCAGCAGAGCTCAGGAGAATTGCGGTTCGAAGCCAGCCTAGGCAAATAGTTCCCAAGACCCTATATTGAAAAAAACCCATCACAAAAAATTGCTGGTGGAGTGGCTCAAGGTGAAGGCCCTGGATTCAAACCCCAGTACTAAAATAATAATAATAATAATAATAATAATAATACAGTATATAGAGACTTTCTATAAAGAGAACCCAGTTTAAAAATCAGCAAAAATTATTAACAGACAAAAGAAGATCTACAAGTAGACATAATATGCACATGAAGTGCGTTCAGTGTCATTAAGTATCTAGGGGATGCAAATTAGATTATTAGATGCCGCTGTGTGCCAACCAGATTGGCTAAAATTAATAGATTGACAGCACCAACTGTTGGTGAGGATGTGGAGCAACCAGAAATTTCTTACACTGGGGGTCAGAGTGTAGAATAGTATTATCACTAAGGAAAGAGTGAGATAAATGTTCTTATACACGTCTTTTTGTGGATATTGTCTTTCATTTCTCTTGGGTAATGATCAGAGTAGAATTGCAGAATGTATGATAAACAGTTTCACTCCTAGACACTTACCCAAGAGAAATGAAAGACAATATCCATAAAGAGATTCCTACAAGAATATTTCTGGCAGGTTTATTCACGATAGCCCAAATATGCAAACAACCCATGTGTCCACCTGTAGAAAAAGGGTAAACAGACTGTTGTAAATTAACACACAGTTAGAGATTCATACTTAGGAATAAAAAAAAAACTACTGGATTAATTTAAAAAATATTATGCTGAGTGAACACTTGAGGCAAAAGACTTCTCAGTAAATTTAATACAAAATTTTATGGAGGAAGCAATTAGGATAGTGTTTGCGTCTAGAGTAGGGGAAGAGATTGACTAGGAAAAGTCATGAAAGAACTTCTGGTGGTAATGTTCTGTACTTTGATGAAGGTTTGTCACATAGTTGTGTGAATTGTCAAAACTCATTGTATATTATATTTGTGAATTGTGCATTTATGTGAGTTTCACATTAAGGGAAAAAAGTTATAAAAGAAATCATTTTGATGTAAGTGATCTGAGGACCATATCAGAGAACCATTGAGTTTAACTGTATATCTATATATGTGTATGTATATGTGTATAAATACACACACACACGTGTGTGTGGGAGTGTGTGTGTGGTACTGGAGTTTGAATTCAGTGCTCTGTGCTTGCTAGGCAAGCACTATATCACTTGAGCCACACCTCTAGCCCTTTTGGCTTTTAAGTTATTTTTCAGATAGGATCTTACTTTTTTGCCCAGGCCATCCTCAGACTACTGTCCTCCTACTTGTGACCGCCCACGTACCTGTGAAACCCACATATAAGATGGCTGACTCTACCTCTAGATAATTCTTACTATCAGTAAAGTAGGACTAAGTTTCTCTAACTTTTTTAGAGAGAGAGGGAGAGAAACTGTTGTACAATTAATATGTGCTAACTTTAAAAATGAAAGTGCAAATTCCTGGACCCTCCCAAGCCTTATTTGTTTAATCTGAGATAAAGTCCTGAAATCAACCTTTTTTTTTGGGCACATATAGTGCACAGGTCTGAGGGCTGTCATCCTAGTGTCATTGCCTTGATGGAAGGTGTCTGAGTAAGTTTCCAGTCACTTCTACAAGAAGTGACTGGAAAGAAGGAGGAGATAGGAAATCTAAGGAAAGGTGATTGTAGAATTGAGGGCAGATCTTAGTTTAAGACATACATGGAAGACCTTAGGAAACCCATGGGCAATGAGGATCTGAGAGACAATAAGGATGTGTAAGAGAAGGGAGAATCCCCTACTGGGAGCCATCCACTGACTGGAATCACCATCTTTATAGGGTGGAGCATGGGTAACCCATTGGCAGGGGATCTTTTTTTTTTTTTTTCATTTTTCTTTTATTATTCATATGTGCATACAAGCCTTGGTTCATTTCTCCCCCCTGCCCCCACCCCCTCCCTTACCACCCACTCCGCCCCCTCCCTCTCCCCCCCCCAATACCCAGCAGAAACTATTTTGCCCTTATTTCTAATTTTGTTGTAGAGAGAGTATAAGCAATAATAGGAAGGAACAAGGGTTTTTGCTGGTTGAGATAAGGATAGCTATACAGGGCATTGACTCACATTGATTTCCTGTGCGTGGGTGTTACCTTCTAGGTTAATTCTTTTTGATCTAACCTTTTCTCTAGTTCCTGTTCCTATTGGCCTCAGTTGCTTTAAGGTATCTGCTTTAGTTTCTCTGCGTTAAGGGCAACAAATGCTAGCTAGTTTTTTAGGTGTCTTACCTATCCTCACCCCTCCCTTGTGTGCTCTCGCTTTTATCATGTGCTCATAGTCCAATCCCTTGTTGTTTTGCCCTTGATCTAATGTCCACATATGAGGGAGAACATACGATTTTTGGTTTTTTGAGCCAGGCTAACCTCACTCAGAATGATGTTCTCCAATTCCATCCATTTACCAGCGAATGATAACATTTCGTTCTTCTTCATGGCTGCATAAAATTCCATTGTGTATAGATACCACATTTTCTTAATCCATTCGTCAGTGTGGGCATCTTGGCTGTTTCCATAACTTGGCTATTGTGAATAGTGCCGCAATAAACATGGATGTGCAGGTGCCTCTGGAGTAACAGTCTTTTGGTATATCCCCAAGAGTGGTATTGCTGGATCAAATGGTAGATCGATGTCAGCTTTTTAAGTAGCCTCCAAATTTTTTTCCAGAGTGGTTGTACTAGTCTACATTCCCACCAACAGTGTAAGAGGGTTCCTTTTTCCCCGCATCCTCGCCAACACCTGTTGTTGGTGGTGTTGCTGATGATGGCTATTCTAACAGGGTGAGGTGGAATCTTAGTGTGGTTTTAATTTGCATTTCCTTTATTGCTAGAGATGGTGAGCATTTTTTCATGTGTTTTTGGCCATTTGAATTTCTTCTTTTGAGAAAGTTCTGTTTAGTTCACTTGCCCATTTCTTTATTGGTTCATTAGTTTTGGGAGAATTCTTAGTGTGGTTTTAATTTGCATTTCCTTTATTGCTAGAGATGGTGAGCATTTTTTCATGTGTTTTTGGCCATTTGAATTTCTTCTTTTGAGAAAGTTCTGTTTAGTTCACTGCCCATTTCTTTATTGGTTCATTAGTTTTGGGAGAATTTAGTTTTTTAAGTTCCCTGTATATTCTGGTTATCAGTCCTTTGTCTGATGTATAGTTGGCAAATATTTTCTCCCACTCTGTGGGTGTTCTCTTCAGTTTAGAGACCATTTCTTTTGATGAACAGAAGCTTTTTAGTTTTATGAGGTCCCATTTATCTATGCTATCTCTTAGTTGCTGTGCTGCTGGGGTTTCATTGAGAAAGTTCTTACCTATACCTACTAACTCCAGAGTATTTCCTACTCTTTCTGTATCAACTTGAGTTTGGGTCTGATATTAAGATCCTTGATCCATTTTGAGTTAATCTTGGTATAGGGTGATATACATGGATCTAGTTTCAGTTTTTTGCAGACTGCTAACCAGTTTTCCCAGCAGTTTTTGTTGAAGAGGCTGCTATTTCTCCATCGTATATTTTTAGCTCCTTTGTCAAAGATAAGTTGGTTATAGTTGTGTGGCTTCATATCTGGGTCCTCTATTCTGTTCCACTGGTCTTCATGTCTGTTTTTGTGCCAGTACCATGCTGTTTTTATTGTTATTGCTTTGTAATATAGTTTGAAGTCAGGTATTGTGATACCTCCTGCATTGTTCTTTTGACTGAGTATTGCCTTGGCTATTCGTGGCCTCTTGTGTTTCCATATAAATTTAACAGTAGATTTTTCAATCTCTTTAATGAATGTCATTGGAATTTTGATGGGAATTGCATTAAACATGTAGATTACTTTGGGAGTATCGACATTTTTACTATGTTGATTCTACCAATCCATGAGCATGGGAGATCTCTCCACTTTCTATAGTCTTCCTCAATCTCTTTCTTCAGAAGTGTATAGTTTTCCTTGTAGAGGTCTTTCACATCTTTTGTTAGGTTTACACCTAGGTATTTGATTTTTTTGAGGCTATTGTAAATGGAATTGTTTTCATACATTCTTTTTCAGTTTGCTCATTGTTAGTGTATATTGTTGTTGTATAGAAATTGCTAATGATCTTTTCTATGTTGATTTTTATAGTCGCTGCTACCTTGCTATATGCTATTGATGATGTTCTAGAAGCTTTCTGAGAGACGTTTTTTGGGTCCTTTAAGGTATATGGTATCATGTCGTTGCAAATAGGGTAATTTTTGAAACAGTGATTCTTACCTATTTGTATTATCCTTTTATCCTTTCTTCTGCTAATTGCGTCTGGCTAGGAAATTCCAGTACTATGTTGAATAGGAGTGAGATAGTGGGCATCCTTGGTGCCTGGTTCCTGATTTTAGAGGGAATGGTTTTTAAATTTTCTCCGTTAAGTATAATGCTGGCTGTAGGTTTGTCATATATAGCTTTTATAATGTTGAGGAACTTCTTCCTTTATCCTATTTTCTTAGAGCTTTTTATCATGAATAGGTTGGATTCTTATAAAGGCTTTTTTCTGCATCTATTGAGATGATCACGTGGTTTTTGTCTTTGCTTCTGTAATGTGGTTTATTACGTTTATTGATTTTCGTATGTTGAACACCCTGCATCCCTGGGATGAAGCCTACTTGTCCGTGATGAATATCTTTTGTTGATGTGTTGCCTGAATTCGGTTTGCCATTATTTTGTTGAGGAATTTTTGCATCATATGTTCATTAAGGAGATTGGCCTATAGTTCTCCTTTTTGGAGGTGTCTTTGCCTGGTTTTGGGATAAGTGTAATACTGGCTTCATAAAATGTGTTTGGCAGTTTTCTGGAAGGGGATCTTTGAGAGCAACTGCTTTCAAGAGGTAGGGAGAATTCAGGATCATTGTGCATGCTATCTGTTGCCAACCCTTGTCCCATGGATACTTACATTTACTGATTTTTCTTTTTTGTAGTAAGAAGAAAGCATAACCTATAGAACATCTTCTGGCAGAAGATGATAGATGTGGATCAGAAACAGGAAGTGCTGGAAGCCAGAAATCAAAAGTGAAGAAACTCTGTAAGCCCTGTGTGAGAAAGGTGACAGATTGTTCATGTATTGACTTACTTGCCTCACATTATTAATGTATGGTCACCTAAGCAAGTACATTATTTTTAGGTCCATAGTTACCTTCATAAATTGTAGGGAGAAGGTGGAATGGGATAAATTGGTGGAAATGAGTTTTTAACTACACATTTCTCTGCAGACTTTTTTCAGTCAGTACTTTCTGTGTCATTCCCTTTTACTGACTTCTCAGGACCCTTCTTCCTCCTTTCTAAGGCTGGAGTTTATCCTGACATAGCTCATTAATACTCATCACTAACATTTAAAAGATCTTTATTACTGGCAGGCACCATGGTATTGTGCTCTTCCTGCATTCTTTCATTCCCTTCTCAAAACAACCCAGCGATATGAATGAAACATCTGAGGTTCTAAAGGTTAGGTAACTTGCCCAAGAGCTTAAAGCTACGAAATGGCAGAACCAGACTTTAACTCCTGCTTTCTGACTTCAGGTTCCATATTTGGTGTTGCCTTTCCCCTCTCAGAGGGAAAAAGAGAAGCCACATTTGCATCTCCTCCAGTGTAGCAGAACAAGTATCCCAACTTGGCAGGCCTCTTTTGGAAGGTTGTCAGTTCCTGGGATTTAAAAGCATTAAAGTTTTTATTGTGAAATTTTTTTTAAATTAGAGAACAGAAAGAAATCACCTATAATATTGCTGTCCTTACATGACTACAATTAATGTATTGTGTTTTTGCCTCCAGGGTTTTTTCCCATATGTATATATATAAAGTGGGGATGTTCTCATATTTTATCTATTAGTAGAAATTTCATGCCCATATGTCTTAAAGAAGGACCAGCACATGATTGAATAAATGAATGTTTGTTTCCATGTAGGGAATAGTACGTTTGTGCTTTCTCACTTTTTTTTTCTGTGTTTAGAGAGGGAGATCATTGTAGTTTAAATTTTGTATTACGCTTCAGTGTTACAAAGTATATACTCTGCCAAAAAATTGTGTGTGTGTGTGTGTGTGTGTGTGTGTGGCGCGCGCGCGCGCACATGCTCTCTCTTTCTCTGCCAACTCAAGTTTATGTTCTGCTCGTCAGGTCTTGCTCATATTCATATCCCATTTAAATTGTTTTTGACTTATACGCCCATAGTGATCTTTTCTACTTCAGTCTTCTAAGACTTTCTGGCAGTACCTCACATTTGACATTCACCACTTTTACATCTGCTAGTCATAATATTTTTTGACCTTTTTTCGTTTCCCTTTATTTCTCTTTTCTCCCTCCCTCTATCCATTCATCCCTTCTTCCCTTTCATTTTTTGAGGCAGGGTCTCACTATGCAGGCTAGGCTAGCCCTGAACCCCCAGTCCTCCTTCTTCAGCCTGTAGAGTGCTGGGATTACAAGCTTGTGTCTTGTTCTCTTATACCTTTTCCATCCATAACATGTGATCCAGTGTTCTTTTCAATATTGGTTGTATTTTTTAAGCATTTTGGTATTCAAATCAAACTGCCATTGGTCATTTCTTTAATCTAGAATGATTGAAATATCTGGTGTATCTTTCCATCTCTTTGCAGGTTCCTGTCACTTTCACCATGCCAGAAATGACAAAGCATGAGACGCCTACAAAAAAACAGCACGGGTATGTATCCACCACCCAAAAGTAATACAGTTGGGGCAGGTAAGAAGCAAATTAGTTCCCATTTTGCTAAGTAGGTAGTTCTTAATGAGCTTGCATTTGGATGAGTAGAAAGTATTTAGTATAAAGATATGTGTGATAAATAAAGATTTACTGAAAATGGTGGTATATAATTAAATTTTACCTGTCTTCATTTTACCAGCAGTGTAACAAGTAAGAATGATCATCAGTAGTTAAAACAGCATACCAAATTGATGCTAAATGTTTACCTTCTTAATGAAATTTTTACTAGCGTACAGTATTAATTTTTGTAGGCAAAACACTTAAGTTGTAGTTAATTTGAATAGATATTTTATACCATTAGGCATTAATGCCAATATGCCTTTCTGCAAATTATTACTTTCATCTTCTTATAATATCCCACTTCTGAATTTTTGGCATTTTGGATAATGTCTCTTAGAGAATGATAATGTATTGGGTAACTCAAAAAGGGAAAAATCAGTGTTTTTTATTTTAGTAGGGCTTTTAAGAAAACGTGAGAGTTTGGATATCCTATGTATACAAATGCAGAAGATGGCTCAAATGCCAATTCTCAGGGCAAAAGTGTACTCTTGGCTGCCATATTTTCCTCCCTGGGTATTACAAAGTTATTATCTACTATTGCTTGCTTCTCCTACACTCATTCCTACCTCGGTGTTAGGGCAAACATACAAAAGTCACCTGCTAGGTACATCACTTTGAGAATTTACTTAGAACTTAAATTACATTTTTCAAATAGTTAATGTTTTCAGTGATTGATTCTATTCTCAACCCATGATTTCTGGGCATAAAAGAATAGAGATTTATAGTTACTTCCAGAAATTATCTTTAAATTTATATGGAGGTTTATGCAGCCAGATTTTCATACCATAAAATGTATTCAGGAAAATTTCTTCAGATAGTTTTTTATTCATTCAAAAAATACAATTTTATAAAATTTATTTTTATGGTTCTCAAACTATAAAGTAGTTAAAATGCTTTCCCATTAATTTTTTTCATGTTAACTTTTATCTATACTTTTTGTTTCAGAAAAAAAAACCGGGAGACACACAATGCAGGTAGATATAATAATTTAAAATTTACCTTGTTATTATTTTTTTGCTTTTAAAACGAAATTATACCACAGTTAATTAAAAGCTTTTATCTTATAAGCACAGAATCATTATTTGTTACTTTTTAGGAATGTGTACCTTTATTGTTTCTAATTGGCAAAACATTCCCAAAGTGTCATGGAGATGACTTCCTAACATCTTCTGATTTATAGTCTGTTTGGGAAAGTTAAGAAATTAGTATTCCTGAAGCTGGTGTTTGTAGGAATTTCACCCACCAAGGAAACCCAGATATACTTACTTCTCCTCAGTAGAATGAAGGTTACCTATCCGCATAAACTCCAGAGGGGATGGCTACCTAGAGGAGTGAGGAAAAGATGAGCAGATCTTAAAGGGACTTGAACAGTCTTAAGTTGTACGGTCTTCATTTATAGGAGGAGATGTAGGAATTAAATATTTGATCTTAGCTCAAGCATTAAAAGTACAGTCCAAATTCAGATAAGCATACATAGTTAGTTGTGCATACATTTGCAGTTTGGCTCATCTTTTAGTAATTGACTTTCCACTAGGGACTGCATTCAGACAAAAAAACAATTTAGAAGTTAATTTCTATTACTCTATAAATGACATCCTCCTTTCCTTAAGTAAAGGATCTTTGGGAAATTTTTTCTATGAAAAGATGTCTTGAGCACTGGTAGAATACTGCTGTTTTCCAGAATGAGAACTTTACTGCTGTTGAAACCCCATTTATCACTATAAAGAGTCTTAATATGTTTTGTCATTGTTGTTGTTTTCTTTTGGTTTGTTTTGGTTTACTTTTTTGAGACAAGATCTCTCTATGTAGCCCAGGCCAGCCTTGAACTCATGATCCTTCTACCTCAGCTTCCCATTTGCTCAGATTATAGGCATGTGCTGCCACACTTGGCTTATTGTTTTTTTAACTCCACATATGAAAAAGCAATCTTCTTTTATAGCAGCAAATTTTATTGTTAGAAATTTCAGAGGAAAGGTAAATTATATGTTACTGTTTTTTGGTTTTGTACCTGCAAATTAAGACTAATGTTTTAGCTATATGAACTAAATCTTTTTATTGGAATCACTTGTCTCATGATGTATACATACATCCTGACTGTTACTCACTAACAGTGAGTAATTAAATGTTATTGGAAAGGATGCCCTTTGCGAAGAAAAAAAATACCTATTTTATAAAACAAGTTCTACCTAGGCTATGATCTGAAAGATGATCTTAGAAACTCTGGAATTCTTTATGAGAAAGGAAGTTCTTAGAAAACTTCCTAACAGAAAATAGCCAATAGTTGCTACTCATAGTGTTTTACAGAAATTATTTAGATAATCTCTTGTGTATTCTAGCTCCTTTTAAAGTTGTAGCATATAACTCATAGTGTCTTACAGAAATTGTTTAGAAATGAGAATTGTATCCTCTTGCTCCTTTTGGAGTTGTACTATGTAAGTCTGGAACTTTTCACAGTTAATTGAAAAAGTAGTCAGTTGCTTAGTCAGTTGCCCAGTCAGTTGTAGTTTCTTCCCTATCCAACAGGAGAGAAACATGGACAAAGTGGACATCCCAGGAACCAGAGAAAGCTAAGCTAGTGCCTTTTCTGGTGTATTTTAAGATATGATTAATAGCTGTTTCCTTCCCAGAAAGGCCCTCTTCATCCTAAAATGCATGTCTTCAGGTTCTTTAATCTGTGGAAAAAGGTCTCATTTGTTTAAAAGAGCAATTTTCTGATAGTTTATTAGTGGGTCCTTTAAATTTGGTTGTCATTAAAATCTCTAGTAGTTACTTGAACTATAATGGAATGATAGCCTAATAATAACGCAATATTAAGTCATTCTTTTTTAAATAATTTAATGTAATTGTTAGAGATGATTTTATTTAAAATGCTAATAAGTGTTGCTTATGTCCATTTTTATAACATTTACCTTAAAATACTACATTCTTTGAAATCTTAGGTGTTTATTATAGTGGTTTTTCTTCAGTAGATAACGCTGTTTTTGATTTTACTGTTGTGTGTGGTGCTAGGGATGGAACCCGGAGCCTGTGCATGCTAGGCAAGTGCTCTGTCACTGAGCTACGCCCCCACAGTAGATAATGTTTGATAGATATTTCTAAGGGATTTCTTTGCCTAAAATTTCTTTGTCCAGAGAAAAAAGGGCACTTTGGCAGAATAGTATACGATTTGATGAATGGATTTTTTCCCCTCTATTTAGTGGAGAGGCATAGAAAGAAGAAAATCAATGCTGGGATAAACAGAATAGGAGAACTGATTCCATGTTCCCCTGCTCTGAAGCAGGTAAGAATCCATGCATATTTTCATTCACTACTTGTGAACGAACAGACAACTTTCTAAATCATTTTGATTCTTAGAATGATTATTTTTGTTCTGTGTCATTTAGGGTGTTTGGGGAGTTAACAATTGCTTTTTTAAAATTTACTTTATTTTCTTTATAACTAACTTTAATTTTCCCCACATTTTGGACAGTCTCTTGATACAGTTTTCTGCATTCGCAGTGCACCACATTATTTTCAGACCCTTTTAAATTGTGTTTTCTCTGAATTATGTAAGTTCCATTACTATGTCTATGTGCCACTCAGTTTACTAGGCATTACTTTCGTTTTCTGCCAATTTGTATTCTTTACTCTTTTCAAGTTCTTAGGTAGAATCTTCCAGGGATTCTATTTCATTCCATTCCCCTCCTTCCTCCCTCCACCCCCTGGCCCCCTTTTTTTGAGACAGTCTTGCTATGTAATCCAGGCTGGCCTGGAACTCACTTTTCTCCTACCTTAGCCCCTAGAGTGCTGGAATCACAGGCTTGTGCCACCATGCCTGGCCTCTCTTTCCCCTTTCAACTCCCAGTAGTACTTAAAAATCTCAGCTTAATGCATGATAGTTTCCCTAATGATGATAGCTTTGGGTTTCTTCTGATAATGAGGATAAAGCAGGCTTATTCAAAACAAAACAAACAATTGAAACAATATGGAAGCCATTTAACTTTTTAGGTTAAAAACATTGTCATTCCACTCCGAAAATATAACAACTAATAAAATACTGTTACCCATCTATCCAGATATGGCTTCATAAGTATGTATTTCCAGTGCTACTTCATACCTGCTTTGTCACTTTAGGTGGCACACAGTGGACTTTTGGTTGTGGATACCTTTCTACATATGATCTCCTTTGTTTTTAATGGTTGTGTAGTATTTGGTCATAAATGGAATATCATTTATGGTAGCTGTTTTTTTAATTAGTTATGATTAAATAATATATGCAAAACCTAATATATACATAGTAAATAGCACTAAAAAGTTTAAAACAACAAACATTATCTACTTCTCAACCCTAACACAGCTTTCAAAGGCAACCATTCTTAAATAAATGATATTTAACATTATACTTCTAAATAATATACTTATATTACTGTATCTTAATTTTTACATTTTAGATATTAACTATCAAAATTCTGTTATGCTTTGCTCCTGGCCTCCTCTTCCCTGATCCTCCCCAAATGATTATATCACGAGTTTTGGTTAAATCAGGATTCAAATTTTATGTTATTAAGTCTATGTAAAGGATGGCTTGGCTCAAGTGGTAGAGCACCTGCCTAGCAAGTGCAAAACTCTGAGTTCATACCCCAGTACCGTCAAATAAAAAAAAAATTATGTAAGGCCATGTAAATACTGTTTGTGGTTGAGCCAAGGATTGTACCGTTATGTTTCATTTCATGTAACTTTTGATGTTTTGAGGTTATTGCTTATAGTTTTTCATTTGCCTGATTTTCTGTATACTCACCTCTAATTCCTTTCATGTGTCCAACAAGCCCTTAGAATAGTTTTCTAGGTGGTCAGATGCACCATATACTTTACGTTTTCCCTTTGAGACTTTATTTCTAGAACCTTTTGTCCTCCATTTTCAATCTCAATCACTTGGTCTCTTCCAGCTCTCCTGTTTTTTAATTTCTGCTTTCATATTTTTAATTTCCAGGAATCTTTTTCTTATTTTGTGTTTATCCATTTTCATACCTTATGTTTACTCCATGCATTCAATATTATCTCATCTCTGAATGTTTTATAGGCTTTTTCCTGAAGCTTTCTTCAATTTTCTGTCTTTGTCCCCTTTTCCCTTTTGTTTAGATGTTTTATCTTTCTTTTTAGAGGCTTTCCTTAAATGGTTAGTGATATGTGGTTCTTTTATCAGATTTGAGAATCAGTCATGAAAAAGCTGATCAAGTAGGCTTGTCTTTTGGTGGTCCCAGAAGACAAGCTTGCATGATTAGGTGGCATACCAGTTTTTGTTGTGATGATGATGTGGTAGTGATGGAACTCATTTCAGTATTTGTAGTTTTTTCCCTTTGGGGGTAGCTATTGTTTTCCAAGGCAGAATCTATCAGTTTCTTTCTTGGGAGTAGAAATGGTTGAAGGACAGTTTAAACTTGTTTGCTTGTATTTTTTCTGAGGCTGGATCTGGGACAGGGACTAGAGTCTCATGCTTCAGTTTTGCTTTACCTTGTTTTCACTTAGGACGCTCATCTTGTTTACTTTTATGCCATGTATCCCTGAGGTTTGAATTTTCTGGTTCAAATTCCACAGAAAATAAGCTTGTTTCCTGTGGTTGGGTCAGGAAGAGGAAGTCATCCAGCATAGGATATATGTCTGGGGAGGTGGTGTGTATTACTGCTTTATTAAGAGCCTTTCAACAAGTCCCTCACCTGCATTCTGTAGTAGCTGGTGGTTCTCAGTATTGAAACTTCCTAGGATCTTGGCAAGCCAAATCAGCTTGCTTCTCAATATTATCTTCCCTTGGTAAGGAGTTCCACTTCAGTTTGTTTTCATTCTCCCCATAGGGTAGACTTAGATTTCTACAAATGAATTTCTTAGCCTTAGTAAAAAAATGTACTATTTCCTTAACACAGCGGCAGACTATATCTTCTGGTTTGTTTTTCTTTCTCCACATGTTAATGTACAGTAGCTGCTTAGTAAATATTAGAAGTTGCCCAGTAAAATTTTATTTTCCTACTCTTGACTTTCATTCCTATGAGTTTCTGAAGAAAGGAAACCATAACCATTTCAGTTCTTGGTGTCTACAGTGTACAAAGGAATTCAGTATTTGGCCTCCAGAAACAAAGCAGTTTAAAATTTTTCTTTGCTATTGCTATATGCTCTGCCCTCTGTCTACAGTAGAGGGACAGGTGGCTGGATATTATCACATTCCTCTTATGTTAGGATTCTTGTGTTAAGAAAGGACAATATTAGTTTTCTCTTTTGAAAGTAAAGAGTTTCCTGGGTTTATATATTGGGTCTCTGTTGTGACTTGGTGTAAGGAACCCAGAAGTGAAGCTTGGTGAACTAAAGCACTAACTTCCGTGGATTCCTACATGAAAAGAGCTGTTCATAAAAGACTGGAGATATGCAGTAGTATACATGCTGGATTAGAAATTATTGTTCACTGCCGTATGTTTAATGGCCAGAGGAAGAAACCAGATATAACTTTGTTTGTTAGTGGTAGACTGGTAAGTAAAAAAAATACAGCCATTAGAAAAAAAATTAAGCTTTTAAATGCTTCATGAAAGTATCTACAAGATATATCTAATTTTAAAGAGTACAAAATGGAGATGGGGATGTAGCTCACTGGTAGTGTTTACCTAGCATGCACAAGGCCCAGGATTTGATCTCCATTACCACACATGCACATAGATACAACATATTGCTTATTGCATCCTTCTGTGTGGGTTTTTATATAGACTGTCATGTATTGACAAATCATGTATCCTTCTAAAAGGAAGGATATAAAAGTAACTTTATGGTGGTTGCCTCTGGAACAGAATCTGGAGTACGAAAACACAATGGTATATTACTTTTCAGTGTGTATCCCTTCATAATATTTACTTTTTTGCCATATGTGCATTTTGTTTTAAGTTTTTTTAATTATTAAATATAAAGGAATATTTTGATATAAAATTCAGTCTTTTTGAAAAAACTTAGAAGTGGAATATACTGAGAGCGTGACACCAAAACTCAAGTGACATTTCTTTTTCAACCTATTATATAGGATAATTTATAGTTGTAGTTAAAGAGTAGATAATATTACAATCTGAAATTTTTAAATGGTCTTGAAGGCCCTCTTTGGCCTCTTCTACCACCCCTCCTGATGTACATTACCCTGGCCCTGCTTATCTTCTTGCTGTCCTCAGACACACCAAGCCCAGCCCTGCGTGAAGGCCTTTACTTTCTGATCTTACTCCCTAGACCACTTCCCTCATATATTCAAAGGGTGTGCTTCCTTTTACCTCCTTTAGGGTTTTGCTCAGGTACCACCTTACAGAGAGGCCTTTCCAAGGTCTCTATACCAAAACACTGTAGCAGAGTGTTTTAATGCAGGCTGCTGTAACAAAAACACTAATGACTGAGGGGCTTTAACAACAAAAATTTAGACTGGGTGCTGGTGGCTATAGTTCCAGCTACTTAGGAGACAGAGATCAGGAGCATTGCATTTCGAAGCCAGCCTGGGCAAAATAGTTCATGAGACCCTATCTCAAAAAGCTCTTCACAAAAAAGGGCTGGTGGAGTGGCTCAAAGTGTAGGGTTTTAACTCAAAAAAAAAAAAAAAATTCTCACTTTTCACTATTCTTGAGGCTGAGAAGTCCAAGATCAAGATTCACACTTGGTAGAGAGACAGAAAGATCATCTTGCTCTATCTCTTCTTAAAGGGCACTAGTTCTGAAGGTTCCACCTTCATGACCTAATTACCTCTTAAAGACCCGGGCTTCAAGTACCATCACATTGGCATTAGGATTTCAACATTGGAATTTAGTACAGGGACACAGTCTTGCACCTTCACCATCACTTTAGCACCTCCTTCCTTACCCTACTTCATTTTTCTTTGTACTGATTCTTATGGTGTATCTGTAATTTTATTACCACCTATTAATTTTACATATATATTTATATTCTTCAAGGGCAATTACTTTGTCTGTTTTACTATAATATCCCAGTGCCTAGAACAGTGCCTGGCTCATGGTTCATATTCAGTAGATATTTAGTAAATGTAAAATGAACAGTAGAAGCTTTTAAACGTGGTACATTTTTTTTCTCTGAAAAGTTACATATTGCATATATGTGATAAAGCCAGAACTTTATGTTTCTTCTAGCAAGCTCTTACCCTTCAGTGAAACTTTTAAATGGCTAATTTTCTTTGGCAGAGCAAGAATATGATCCTGGACCAAGCCTTTAAATATATAACAGAATTGAAAAGGCAAAATGATGAGCTTCTGCTTAATGGAGGAAACAATGAACAAGGTAAAACTTTAGAGATTCTTTTTTGATATTGGTTAGATATTTAGGGATTTTTGTTACCATGAAATTTATTTTAGGGTATAGAAGGCTTTCCTCCCCAAAAATGTAAACAGAAAAAATTAAGTCCCTGCATTCAAGGGTCCTGGGAGAATAGTGTTGCTAATAAAATCATTTTAGTTTAACTCTTCTCTCTCCTTTCTGAGCAACTGTAATCCTGCATGCATGTATAATTTTGATTATGTATGCAAAATATTAATTTTGATTTTGGACTCTTCTGTGTATTTCACATTTGTCTAACTCATGATATTAATAACAAATCTCCTTTATTCCAGTTGGATCTTGCAGTTAGGGGAATCCTATAAGAGGATATAGGGAGGAGTTCTGATCAGTACAATTTGAAAACAAGATAGGTTATGCCTATGCCAAGTTTTAACTGTGCATCAACTCAAAAAACCAAAATACTCGGATCACAGTTATTTACACTGATTCTGTGTGTGCATCAAACTGCTGGATCATTTAGTGATTTTTGATTTTTTAGATGTAACTTTCACACTGTCAAGTGAATTCTGTTTTTCCACCAGCATTGGAGAGAGGCTGAAAAGAAAAATATACCAGGAAAGTGTAAAGCTAGGCTGGTAGGCCAGTTTGAATAAGCCTTTATTTATGGCTCTGACAAGAGCAGAAATGAGGCAGGCTAGAAGTAGGAAAAGTTGAGGGCTCATGTAGGTTGCCCAGGGATGGGCCAGACCACTCTCACCTGCCAGGAACTGCCCATGTCCCTCCCCATTCATTCATTATTGGGTGGGAATCTCCTGGGCCTGCCTGCCCTTCCATGGGGTAGTGTAGGTTTTAAAGGCACCTAAAAAAGAAGAGCACACTCTCTGCTGTCAGACTCCACCTGTGCCCACTGTGCCCTCTTTTCCTGCGTCCCTTCCCTCACCTGGCAGAACAGGTTGACTCCGCTTTCCTCATCCTACCTTACCTCATCCATGTGCTCTGCTTGGATTTTTTCCATTTGGAGCACAAAAACGAGGATATTCTGATCATCAGCTGCACTGGTGCCGGTAACAGAAAAAAGAGTTTTCTGTGGTAACTCAGTAGTCCACCTTAAAAGGAGACAAACAGGGCAGAATTTGCTAAGGTAGAGGCAGTGCTGGGCTGTGCTTATTGTAATGAGTGGGAAGGATATTGGAAAGCATACCCAGGAAGTCAGCATTCAGAATTCTTTCTTTACTTTTAGTTAAATAAGGACTTGCCCCTTTCCTACTCAGCTGTCTTTTGTGGCCCAGGCTTTTGTGTTAGGTGTGGGCAGATAGTTAAATACAATAGTAATTGATAATGATGCGTAAGCTTCTCTAGTGAAGGCTACTTTAATTTCATAGCATATAGACTGAGATAGTTATGTTACCATAGGGAAAAGGGAAGCTACTGAAATTTTTTCAGGTGTTTCGGGTTCAGAAAAAGCTGAACAGTCCGGCCAGGGATTGGGGGCAGCACCTGAAGCAGTGTAAGCTTGGCTATGTTGTATTCTCTTTCATGATCATTGTTCCTCTAGTTCTTTTTGTGCATCTGCTTGATCATCTTTTCCTGTCCCTACTACTTTGTCCACACGGTGGTCCAGCACAGTAGTCACAGCAATGGCCTTGAAGTCAGGCCCGCCTAGGTTTGAGTCTCCACTCCATTTTCTCACTCAGTAGCCTTAAGCCACTTAACCTCTCCAAGTCTCAGTAACCCTATCTTAAAAAGAGGATAATGATAGGAACACCTGGCTGCTTTTAGGCAAACTATGTAATTATTTCCATCCAATTCTCACATCTAAAAATCATGATAATAATAGGTAGTTCCCATCTTATCTCTTCCATAATACAGGTAAAGCATTTACATACTAAAGCCTAGCACATAGTTCATGCTTGATACTATTGGCTGCTATCATTGTCATTATATTATTAAATGAGACACTGAATGAAAAGTACCAGGCAGTAAATGTGCAAAAGTGAAAGCACTGGCAATTATTATTTGGTTCATGATTGTTCTTTAATTTCTGATGTCCGTTGCACATTGGCATCTTTCTTTTGTTTCTTAGTTTAAATGAGAAAAATGATCTACTAGTCTCAGCTCATCCTGGTTGAAATGGAATTACTATTGAGGATTGGCTGCCTTTGGTGGGGTAGAAATAAAAATATCTACCACTATGGCAAGGCAGATGGATTATACACAATTACCTAGCATAAAAACCAGCAACCCTGTGGGTAAAGCTATCTCCCTTAGAAAGGAGAGGGATGTAACACACACTTTCAATGCTTTGCAGTGTACCTGCCTTGATCCTACCACCAGAGACACAGCACTACCCGTGGTCTCTGGGTGTTCTACCTCTTGACTTCTGATGTGTTCTCCTTCCTGTCAGTCTCCACTTTTTCAAGTGGTAAAATAGAAACAAAAGAAACTAAGAGCCTGTCTATTACCTCCACAAGTTGTATTAGCTGTTTCAGCATTTGAATGGTATTATATGGATATTCAATGTGATTTTCCTAGCATGTTAGCCTGAAATCAGTATGCCTTCTCTGGTTTCACCTGTGTAGCTGCACTACTAGAAAGTTTTGAATTGTGAATTTTGTGATTCTTCAATGGCTGGCCTTTAAAGATACGTACTTTTAAAAGATGGGATAGTGATTCAAGGTACCCTGCTAAAAAGAAGAAAAAACTTGGATTAGCAAAGAGCTTAAGATTCTCAATTGAAGTGTTTAGAATGATAGAATTAGAATTCAGTATCTTAGTACATAGTTCTTTCTTAGTTATTGTAAATACTGATATTCACCAATATTTAAAAATTTTATTTCTAATATTTTAGCTGAAGAAATCAAAAAGCTTCGGAAACAACTAGAAGAAATCCAAAAAGAAAATGGCCGATATATTGAATTGCTGAAGGCAAATGATATATGCTTATATGATGACCCCACAATCCACTGGAAAGGCAACCTTAAAAACTCAAAGGTGTCTGTTGTTATTCCGAGTGACCAGATCCAAAAAAATATCATTGTTTATTCAAATGGGAGTCAGCCTGGTGGAAACAGCCAGGGAACAGCTGTTCAGGGGATAACCTTTAATGTTGGTCATAATTTACAAAAACAAACCGCCAATGTGGTGCCAGTACAGAGGACTTGCAATCTTGTGACTCCTGTGTCTATTTCTGGAGTTTACCCTTCTGAAAACAAGCCGTGGCATCAGACCACAGTTTCTGCATTGGCTGCCAACCAGCCTGTTCCCCTTTGTCTTCCTGCTACAATTTCTACTCAAAATTTTCTTGAGCTTGCCACCTCTGAAAGTGAATCAAGTGTGCTCGGTACCACTGGTGGCTCACTAATTGCTGTTTCAGTTGGGCCTGAACCTCACCAACATCATTCCTTGCACACATGTCTAAATGATCAAAATGATTCCGAAAATAACAGTGGGCAAGAGAACCCCAAATTATCAAAGCAAACAGCCCCTTGTGCTATAAGCTTCCCCCCCAGCAGCTCAACAACTGCCACTAAAGTGCACCATGGAACAAAGTCCTGCCTGAGCAAACAGGACTTCAGAGGTGATTTGCAAAGCACCTTTGTTGTTGCAGTTACCACCACAGTCTGCTCCCAGCTTCCCAGATCTACAGGTGATTCTTCTCCAGTGAGCATTAACAAGAGCACTGACTCGACAAGTACAACCTCAGTGGTTGCACCATCTGTCCCTGGAGTAGGAAAGACCACCACTGCAATAAGCACTCTTTCTGCAAATGCTTTGGAAAGTGGTTGGACTCTTTCTTGTTCTTTGCCTTCTTCAAGTGTTAGTGCTTCAGATTTGAAAAATATTAGTAGCCTTACTCGAATTTCTTCAGCTGGAAACACACAGACAACATGGACTACTTTGCAACTGGCAGGAAACACTATTCAGCCCTTAAGCCAGACACCATCTTCCACTGTGACTCCAGTATTAAGTGAGTCTGGTACCAGCCCTACCACAGGAAACCACAGTAGACATGTGACTACAGGCATCAGTTTAAATAATTCCCTTCCAGCAGATGGGCAGCCAGTTGAGCAAGTAGTGGTAACCTTGCCTTCTTGTTCATCTTTACCTATGCAGCCACTAATTGCCCAGCCACAAGTTAAAGCTCAGCCTCCAAAAAATATCCTTCCACTGAATTCAGCAATGCAAGTGATTCAGATGGCTCAGCCAGTTGGGTCAGCTGTCAATGCAGCTCCAGCTAACCAAAATGTTATCATTCTTCAGCCACCTAGCACGACCCCATGTCCAACAGTGATGAGGGCAGAGGTTCCCAGCCAGACAGTAGGTCAACAGATTGTCATCATACAGGCAGCTAACCAGAATCCATTGCCACTCCTCTCTGCTCCCCCTCCTGGTTCTGTTCGACTCCCTGTCAATGGAGCCAGTGCTATAATAGGGTCTCATAATTCACTGCAAAATGTTTCAACTCCCCAGACTTTTGGAGGAAAGCATCTTGTCCACATATTACCAAGACCTTCATCTTTATCCACATCTAATTCAACACAAACTTTTTCTGTTACCATGTCAAACCAACAACAGCCTCAAACCATTTCCTTAAATGGACAGCTCTTTGCTTTGCAGCCTATGATGTCTTCATCAGGAACTACAAATCAAACCCCTATGCAAATTATTCAACCCACCACCAGCGAAGATCCAAATACCAATGTTGCCCTGAATACATTTGGTGCTTTGGCCAGCCTCAATCAAAGCATATCACAGATGGCTGGGCAAAGCTGTGTACAACTGTCCATTAGCCAGCCTTCCAATCCTCAAACTGCTGCAAATAGTCAAACCACCCCAGCTAACTGTGTTTCACTAACAACAACTGTAGCACCTCCCATGACGACAGATAATTCAGCCATGCTACCCAGTACTTACAGTCTTGTGACCACTTCCTCAATGAACACTGTCCCTTGTTTGCCACCTACTGTGAAGTCAAAAAGATTAAATAAGAAGCCAGGTGCCAAGAAATACTTAGCAGCTAACAAACCAGCGTGCCCCCTGAATCCAGGCAGAGATGTGGGCAAGTTAGAGTGCCCTAGCACCGAAGGCTCAGGAGAGCCATCATCTAGTGACGGACTGCTGGAAAGCCTCCCTGTTGTCCTACCATCTGTTGCTGTGTCCCAGGCAAATAGTGTTTCTGCTTCACATTCTTTGGACGTTCTAAATTCTGAGTCCATAATTCCTGAGTCTGTGTCCAAATCCAAGTCAGAGGAAGAGTCTAGCTCACCCTCCCAAGAATCTGAAACAAGTGAACGTTTTTCAGTGGGCCCAGCAAAATCCAAAGATTCTACCCCTGTTTTGCAACAAGAGACATCTCAGGATAAACCAACTAGTGTGTTGTCAGATACTACCAAGTCCTGTGCTTCAGCCAATGTGCTAATTCCATCTCCAAATGATCCTCAGATTTTTGTTTCTCAGGTTTCTGGTTTGTCATCCACCACAAGCACTACAAGTACTGACTGTGTTTCTGAGGTAGAAATCGTCACAGAACCTTGCCAGGTCCAGAAAGACTCACCAGACACAATGCAAACTGCAGGTCTCTTAAAGGGACAGGGTCTAACTACATTGCTGTCTGATCTTACTAAAGAAAAAGACCTTCAGAAATCATCTCTTTCTATCCAGATGGATCATCCTGATTTTCCTTCAGAAACTTCTAAGATAGTTGATTCCAGTGTCGATTTACATCCCAAACAGGAACTATTACTGATGAACAACGATGATAGAAATCCACCACAGCATCATCCCTGCCTCCCCGATCAGGAAGTTATTAATGGTTCTTTGCTCACCAGTAGGCAGGCCGACTCTCCCATGTCAACCAGCTCTGGCAGTAGTCGGAGTTTCTCAGTTGCATCCATGCTTCCTGAAACAGCTAGGGAAGATGTGACCAGCAGTGTGACAACTAATACGTGTGATAGCTGTACCTTTGCAGAACAAACTGATATAGTAGCTCTTGCAGCAAGAGCCATTTTTGACCAGGAGAACATTGAGAAGGGAAGGGTTGGCATCCAGGCTGATACAAGGGAAGTTACTTCAAAGCCTTCCGAAACATCATCTTTGGAGGGAGATCAGCCTTTCAAATCACAGATCCCTAAAGAGAATGGCACAGGGCATGCAGAAGCAACACCAAATGAATTTGACTCTCAGGATTCAGTTGAAGTAACAGTGGATCGGCCCCTTGAAAAACCAAGTTGTTCTCTAGGAATTAAAACATCAAATGCCTCCTTACAGGTTTCAGCTTCTCAGCCACCAAGCCTCACCAGCTTAAGTGTAAATAATCTTATCCATCAGAGCAGCATCAGCCATCCTCTGGTCAGCTGTGCAGGGTTAGCCCAAACTTCAGAGCAAGCAACTATTCCCACAACAGTTAATCTTACTGTTTCATCCAGCTCCTATGGCAGCCAGCCTCCTGGACCATCTCTGATGACAGAGTATTCCCAAGAACAGCTAGATACTATGTCTACTACCATACCAAATTCACAGATTCAAGAGCCCCTCTTAAAAGCAAGTCATGAAAGCCGTAAAGATTCTGCTAAGCGCACTGTCCAGGATGATCTCTTACTATCTTCAGCCAAACGTCAAAAGCATTGTCAGCCAGCCCCCCTCAGGCTTGAAAGTATGCCTTTGATGAGCCGAACTCCAGACAGCATTTCTGATCAAACTCAGATGATAGTTAGTCAAATCCCTCCCAACTCTTCAAACTCAGTTGTGCCTGTCAGCAGCTCAACACATGGAGAGGGCCTCACACGATTATTTCCACCTGGTAACAACTTTGTGACTCCTACTTTGAGGCAAACTGAAGTTCAGTGTAGTTCTCAGCCTTCGGTTGCTGAGCAGCAGCAGCAGCAACAACAAACCCAGGCAAATCAACATCTGCAGGCCCTGCAGCAGCATGTTCCAGCTCAAGGGGTCTCTCACCTTCACAGTAACCATCTGTATATCAAGCAGCAGCAGCAACAGCAGCAAGCAGGGCAGTTAAGAGAGAGGCATCACTTGTATCAACTACAGCATCATGTATCTCATGCAGAGAGTGCTGTCCACTCCCAGCCCCACAGCGTGCACCAACAGAGAACTCTACAACAAGAAGTTCAGTTGCAGAAAAAGAGGAATCTCGTCCAGGGCACTCAGGCCTCTCAGCTTTCCCTACAACCAAAGCACCATGCAACCGACCAGTCCCGACCCAAAAGTGGTCAGCCACATCCCCACCATCAACAGATGCAGCAACAGATGCAGCAACACTTTGGAAGTTCCCAGCCAGAGAAGAGCTGTGAAAACCCTTCAAGTAGTCGGAACCACCATAGCCATCCCCAGAACCATCTCAGTCAAGATATTATGCACCAGCAGCAAGATGTTGGAAGCAGACAGCCAGGTTCTGGGGTTTCTTCAGAACATGTATCTGGGCATAATCCAATGCAGAGACTTTTGCCATCAAGAGGCTTAGAGCAGCAAATGGTGTCGCAACCAAGTATTGTGACTAGACCTTCAGACATGGCCTGTACTCCACACAGGCCAGAGAGAAATCGAGTTTCAAGTTACTCTGCTGAGGCACTCATTGGAAAGACATCTTCTAATTCAGAGCAGAGAATGGGTATATCGATTCAGGGTTCCAGAGTTTCGGATCAACTTGAAATGAGAAGCTATCTTGACGTTCCCAGAAATAAGAGCGTGGCTATTCATAGTATGCAGGGTCGTGTGGACCACACTGTTGCTGCAGATATCCGCCTTTCTGATTGTCAGACATTTAAGCCAAGTGGAGCCAGTCAGCAGTCCCAGGGTAATTTTGAAGTACAGTCTTCAAGAAATAATGAAATAGGTAACCCTGTATCATCGTTGAGGAATATGCAGTCCCAGGCTTTTCGAATTAGTCAAAACACTGGCCCACCACCAATCGACCGTCAAAAGAGATTACCTTATCCTCCAGTTCAGAGCATCCCAACAGGGAATGCTATCCCACCAAGGGACAGTGAAAATACATGTCACCAAAGTTTCATGCAGAGTTTGCTTGCCCCTCACCTTGGTGATCAGGTCATTGGGAGCCAGAGGTCACTCTCAGAGCATCAGAGGAATACACAGTGTGGTCCATCTTCTGCAATTGAATATAATTGTCCACCAACTCATGAAAATGTTCATATTAGAAGAGAGAGTGAGAGTCAGAATAGGGAAAGTTGTGACATGTCTTTAGGTGCAATTAACACCAGGAACAACACCTTGAATATTCCTTTTTCAAGTTCTTCTTCTTCTGGAGATATTCAAGGTCGAAACACAAGTCCCAATGTTTCTGTACAGAAGTCCAATCCCATGAGGATTACTGATAGTCATGGGACCAAGGGCCACATGAACCCTCCTGTCACAACCAATATGCACGGGGTTGCAAGGCCAGCTTTGCCACACCCATCTGTGTCTCATGGAAATGCTGACCAAGGGCCTCCTGTACGTCAAGCTAACTCTTCAGTTCCCCAGAGATCAAGGCATCCCATGCAAGACAGCAGTGGTTCCAAAATTCGTCAGCCTGAAAGGAATCGCTCTGGAAACCAAAGGCACAGTAATGTCTTTGATCCAAGTCTTCCCCATCTTCCTCTCTCTACTAGTGGTAGTATGATTCTTGGACGTCAACAACCTGCTACAGAGAAGAGAGGAAGTATTGTTCGTTTCATGCCTGATAGTCCCCAAGTACCTAATGACAATTCAGGTCCTGACCAGCATACGCTGTCACAAAATTTTGGTTTTCCTTTTATTCCTGAGGGTGGCATGAATCCACCAATAAATGCTAATACTTCTTTCATTCCACAGGTTACTCAGCCTAGTGCCACTCGAACTCCAGCCCTCATTCCAGTAGATCCCCAAAATACTTTATCCTCCTTCTATCCCCCATATTCTCCTGCTCATCCTACTCTGTCCAATGATATATCGATCCCCTATTTTTCTAATCAAATGTTCTCCAATCCTAGCACAGAGAAAGTAAACAGTGGAAGTTTAAATAACCGATTTGGATCAATTTTATCTCCTCCCAGACCTGTTGGCTTTGCTCAACCTAGTTTTCCTCTTCTCCCGGATATGCCACCAATGCACATGACCAACTCTCACTTATCCAACTTTAATATGACATCTTTGTTTCCAGAAATAGCAACAGCTCTTCCTGATGGCTCAGCAATGTCACCTTTGCTTACAATAGCGAACTCCTCTGCCTCTGACTCTTCTAAGCAATCCTCAAACAGACCCGCCCACAACATAAGCCATATTTTAGGTCATGATTGCAGTTCAGCTGTTTAAATACAGATGAACTAAGTGTAAAGGTATTGGGTGAGATAACAAGTGTACTTGTATGTGCATTCAACATACATGTGCTTCGAGAGAGAGTGTGTGTGTGTGTGTGTGTGTGTAAAATCATTTTTCAGTTAGCTTCTGATTGTAGGGAATCCGTGGCAGAGATGATGCAAATACTGGGTTGTCAGAGAGAAGCCATCTTTTAATTTTAACTGCATCATGTGCTTTTTTATCTTCAAAGCAGATTTACTTCCAAGTTTGATTTGTAATATTATATTCCCTGAATACTAATCAACTGGACGTTGATAAGAGATGATCTTGGCATGTTCTGGATGGTCGGTAGGGGCTGAAACTTTCAACTTGATTATTGACAATGTGTGTAAAATAGATAGTTGAGTTGCAATCCAAAAATCTAGGCAACCTGATAGAACATGATGGCACAAAACAGAATGCTAGCCGATGTCAGCATCTGGAACAATTCCTTACCCATGGCAGGTGTTGAATTGATATTGAATTGAGTGCCCATAGTTAAACTCAATGAGTTAGCAAATAAATGAATTATTTAATCAGCTTTTATCCCCAAGATTTGGTGTGGGTAGAGACTTCTTTCTTAATTGTAGTTATTTATAAATTAGCTGAATTTTATTTCTTAGGCTTCAAAGTAGGAAGCCACGTTATCCTCTAATGTGCCAAGGTCCTTTAAAACAAAAGTCTTCCTTAAACACTTAGCCTGAAAAATAGAAAGCTGAACGGTAGAGCGCATAAGTGTTCTCCATTCTGTACTTGCATTTTACATCAGGCCATAAAGATAAAAGCAGTTACATTGTGGAGTTCTTCACGGACCCAGATAACCGTTAGTATTTCATCTGTTGAGTTTTGATTTGATATTCTTTCTTCATTCTATGTATTTGATCTTGAAATAAATTCTTTTCCATTCATTTAAATGTCAGGACATTTATAATCTACACATTTATTTGAGCCTTACTTTTAAAACATTTCTGAACAGAGTTTTAAGCTCTCGGTATTTTCATTTACTGATACTTATATTTTAAATATGGCATTGTGTATCACATCATTATCCTTAGTAACAATTACAATGAGAAAATGAATTTGTTATTTTTCTTGATGGCAGGTGTGAAATGGTGCTTCAAAAACTTAGGGTTTAAGTATGTCCATGTGTACATGTATGTGAGTATATGTGAAAACAGATTTTAAAGTATAACTTGGTCTTAACTATTCCACAGTGTATATATACTTCAAAATATGACATGCACAATAAATACATATCTTATGTTGATTAAGAACAAATAAATAAATTTGAGCAAAAAAAGGCCTGCCATCTGAAAGTGGGAAATTGAGACCTGCTAAAGAATAGAAAAACTTGATGTAGATGGTTTTTTTAGCCCCTCCCCCCCCAACTGAAGTTAATAATTTTAAAACACATATATTTAATTTTAAAAACTGGAAAAAGAAACCTATATGCTGATTTTCTTAAACCTGTTAAACCCATGACTTTGTTGTTACAGTCTGGCAAAAATGGAATGGGGAGGGAGAAGTGCACATAAAGTGTCCTGTTGCTCTGATAGACAAGACAGTGCAGAAAGCAGCACTTTTTTATTTTTTTCCATCTTAAAAAAGCCTCCCAAGGACTGGTCAGAGCAGTTACCAGTGAATACCTCTTCTATAGACTCAGTGAAAGGGTCACTTGTGCCTCTTCAACTGTTCTCACCAATGTTTCTGCTGCCAGCAAAGCAGCCTCTTGGGGGAAAAATTATGTAAATAAGAGAAATCTGTGCATTTTCCTGTGAAAATGGTTTTGGAGAAGTATTTAATAGAAGAGTTTCATGAACTTAAGACAGTGGGTAAACACGGCAGTTAAAGCTTTTTATTGAAGGAAAAAGATCTGTGACTTGCTTTTTAATTCTCTTCACTGATATTTAAGCTTTAACAATCAGATTTTTCTGTGTAGTTGGTAGGTCCAATCGTCTAGCTTCAAGAAGGGCAGTTTTCTATTTGGTCATTCATTCTCCCTCCCTCCTGTCTTTCAGCTGGTCTCTCACAGGTACATCTACACATGACAGTGGCTGTTGAGTTCTGAAGGAAGGATTGCTAGGTATATTTGAAACTGACAACACGCTGTGGAGAAACTTTTTTTTTTTTAATTCCTTTTGAGAGTTGAATCTTGCTATGTTGCCCAGGCTAGTCTTGAACTCCTGGGCTCAGGCAGTTCTCCAGCCTCTGCCTGTGGAATAACTAGGACTAGAGGTACCCACCACCACCCCAGCTGAGAAGCTCAATTTGAACATTGTAAGCAAAGTTCTCAAAGTCTGTTAATTTCAGGTATTTCTGTAGCATTGGTTGTATTTTACTGCTCAGCTAGGTTCAGATACAGCATTTGTATTTCTCAGAGCTTTCATTCCATTAATATAACACTTGGATATTAACTGGTATCAGGCTGATCTGACCACCTAAAGAAAAATGTGACCAGCTACAAGTAATTGGGCTCCTGCTTACATGTGGCTCTTACCTTACAAACAATTCATGTGTATGTTAGCGGTCATTTCATATATGGACCCAAATCTGAAAGTGTTCATACCATAGTGCTCTTATTTGATTGAACAGCATGAATATTGATTAAGTCATAATTAGATAATAGGTTTAATAATTAGAGCTACATGGTTTGTGGGAGAAAATTGTTCTATAGTACCTAGTGATGTCCAGTTACAATTTTTTGGTAAAGGCAGAAAATGTAGTCAGATTTGGTTATAATAAATGTAAATGTTACTCTTAGCTTGCTTACATATGACTCTATAAAGTAAAACCATCTCTACAATTCATTTTGTAACTTCTAGAAACACAAAGTTAAGTCTGAGTTGTGAGAGTCATTGATTAAATCATTTTCTTTTAGCATTATTGATCATGTAAAATTAAAGTGGTTCATTTAACATTCTACAGTAAGTTCTAATGAAGTGGAAAATTCTGGATTTCTCTGTAGTATGTTTCATAATTTTCAATGAATTTGTTAAACACAGGAAATGTATTCGTTTTGATATTTAATTTTTTGGAAACTAGATTGTTTTAGGAAGCTTTATGTGTTGTTTTATACCACTTCAGGGAAATTTTTTTTTTTATTGTAAGATCTCTTGGGATACCAGAGATAGCATTTTTTTTTAAAGTAAAGTGCAAGAATTCCACAATGATGACTTCTAAGTGTTGACATATCTGAGCTGTGGGAAGGGAATGGAGGGAATGTTATTTTGAAGTTTTCCAGTCACATATCAGGGTTATGCTGACCTGCAATGGAGATCAACTTTTCAAAATCAGCCTTCTTAAAATACACAATTATAAAATCATTTAAAAGATACTTCATTTCCTTGTTCTTGCCTTCTAACATTAGCCATTTCATGGAGAGACTAAAACTGATACTCCAAAAAATGTGGAAGCACATATTTTAGTGAGAGTAAAATTAAAAGTTTTGAGAAAGGTTAAAGACTTATAATATGCATCTTGTCAGCTTTATCTTTCCTTTGATGCATAAGTACTTAAATATTTTCTTCCATCTGCCTCGTGTCATTTAGGTGACAGGGAGCCTGGTCTTCTCCTAGTAGGATAGTGACTCCTTTGCCTGGAAACATTTTTTGGGACTACCACCCAGTAGGTCAGTGTATGGTAGTTACACTCCCAAATCAGTGAGTCCCACTTTCTGGGTTTGGGAATTACTGTGCCACCTGTTCTCCTGAGAGGCAACAATTTCTCCAAGCAGCATTAGTTTAAATTTGATCTATAATAGCTCAGTGTGCTATTTGGCTCTAGACCTTGGTTGGTGGGCTTGGTTTTTTCCCCATGGTGGAATGAAGAAAGGGCGAAGGTGGCGCCCAAATGAAATGGCTTTGAGTGGGTGTCCTCATGAACCTGGAAGTCCTGTAATTCTGTTGTTTAGATAAATGCTGCCTTTACCAGGAGGGAATGTGCCTAGGGCTATGTACCCCCCAGAGGGCAATAGTAATAGTCACTGACCAGAAAAACTGCTGTGGAGTTAATCTCTCAGTGGTGATTTTATGGGACTTACATGCAAATTAAATGCAGAACTTAATTTCTTCGCATGCCTTTTTGGCTGATTGTTACCTTTTTTTTACCCCCCTTCTCCAAACTTCTACAAAAAAGGGTCCTTTTTTGACTTAACTATACTGTCTTTATTCTACTCTTCCTTTGTTGCTTTCTACTAGAGTGAAACTTAGTGTTTCTCCTAGAGTCTGTGGGGTTCTCCATGTTTAGACAGGCTGTCCAGACAGGTTGGGAGAAAGCATTGAGGACCTTGTTGAACGCAGAGCTGCTAGTTGTGTCCCCCTGCTTTGGCCCTGGTACTGCTCGTTACCTGAAACTGTGCCTCTGGTCCACAGACTGGATATTGGAACATATCCCTTGCCCACTCCTCATTACAGCGAAGGACCAGCCCGGACGGCACGTGCTGAGTAGTCAGGCACCTTGTAGAAGACATGCTATAGCTGATGTTCCTCACTGCTGCCTTATTATTCTCTGAGCCATCTTTGAAAAAAGAAAAAAAACTAGTTAGTAGCCAAACTCTTTTTAAACACAGCTTGTATGTGGTGGTCATTCAACATTCTGATGTTTAGATATGTGTAAGCTCAACGATAATCTTTTTCTAGCACATACATGGTCAGATGCTTCATAAACGAGTCACCTTGAGTTGAGAATGTTGGGCATAATATGCAAATATGTTATTTTGGGTGACTGCATAATCTGTCACTAGAAATTTCATGAGATATAGAAGATAACTTCATTTGTAACTAATACTTTTTTTTAAAAAGATGATCTTTACATTTTTTTGGCTGTCGTGTGTACAGCTGTACAACTGTGGCACAGGAACTTAAAATTTGATCCATTTAAATCCCTTCACTTTTGTAAGACCTCTCTCCTCTTCCACCCCTGAAGTCTTAAAATCATTTTCACCTGTGAGGTTGTTCTGGTAAATGATTTTCCCTGCCTGCTAACCTGCCTTAAGGTCACTGAGGCACGGACTTGATTATTGCAGTAAAGTTTACAGGGAGTTGAACTGTTGCTTTTCCAAGACGAAAGGGACCAGATAGTGTTGCTAGAGATGCTGCAGTTGCTACTGTGAAGACGATTCTTCCACTTTCAGCAGGTTATATATGTATAGATATTTTTTCATTTTGGTATTAAAAAAAGTTGAAAAACCTGAAGAGAACATTATTACCTTCACAAATTATTTATAGATACACTGGGTGAGAAGCTTACTGTAAGGCAGTCACCAGGAAAAAACTAATCTTAGTGCTTCAGTAGTGTAATATTTGTATCTATTACCGAGCCAGCAGGATCTGCTGTGCACTGTGTCCTGTTTCTGTAAATTAGCTGGTTTGTAATTCTAATGGTAAGTAATCTGTTTTGTAATGGAATCAGAGCAGATATGTATAATATGATCAGGATTGCCCTACAGTTGTAAATAAGAATAGGCCCTGTTTATTTTGACATCTTTTTACAAATGCGTTGTATTAGGGTGTGAATATTCCGAACCATGCTCTTGTTTAAAGTTTTGAAATTTTTATTGTTAAATGTAACATTTTAATGGTTGTAATAATTATTTGTATAGATATGAATATGGTATTTTATTTAAGAAAATAAACTTTGCATTTTGCATAGTGAGTTGTTGCTTCTGGTCATCGGCTGTGCCACTTCAAGCTTGCTTGTCTTGCATCCTGAACTTTTCAGGTAATCTTTAAATTTTGCTGAGTATCTGAAAAAAATCCCATGACACATTTCCATAGAGTTTCTGTTCCTAATCAGTCAACCTCAAATCAGAATTATGAGCAGAACTGTATTGTTAGAACAAACCATACATCTCTGTACTCATCATAAAAAGTAAAGTCGGAATTTCAGATCTGGAAGAATATGTAGAAATAATCCAGCTTAAACTCTCCTCTGAGCATCGTTTAGTGGAGGAGCCTGGAGCACAGGACTTTGAGATAAAGGTTAGATCTCTCACTACAGCTAGTATATCAACTTAATTAAAACTTATAAACATGACTTGAGAGGGAAATTTGAGAGAAACTTGTATAATAAAAAATTTTATGAAGTTGGGGTGTCCTTTCATAGAGTCTATATAACTGAGGCTGGACTAAACTTGTTACACAGCCCAACTAAAACAGTATTTTCCTTGTCCTAGCTTCTTGGGAGTTCAAACACTGTCTTTCTCACAAAGGAAAAAATGTGAACATCTCTGGTGGAAAATAACAGTACAGGGAATATATGCAATGTCCCGGAAACATACCCAGGCACGGTGGTACATGACTAATTCCAGCTACTCAATTAGTGGAGGCAGGAAGATGCCCAGCCTGAGCATAGTAAGACCCTATCTGAAAAACAAAAGGGCTTGGAGTTCAATCCCAGCACTGGAAAAAAA